TGTTCTTCACTTGGGGTGTCTCCACCTACAGATTAGAATGTGTCACCGACTGTACACCACTGGGGATATGTACCCACCTGCAGATTAGAATGTGTCAAGGACTGTACTTCACTGGCGGTATGTCTTTACCTGCAGATTAGATTGTGTCAAGGACTGTACACCTCTGGGGGTATGTCTCCATCTACAGATTAGAATGTGTCAAGGACTGTACACCTTTGGGGATATGTCACCACCTGCAGATTAGATTGTGTCAACGACTGTACACCACTGGGGATATGTCTCCACCTGCAGATTAGATTGTGTCAACAACTGTACACCTCTGGGGATATGTCTCCACCTACATATTAGATTGTGTCAAGGACTGTACATCTCTGGTGATATGTCTCCACCTACAGATTAGAATGTGTCAAGGCCTGTACATCTCTGGGGATATGTCTCCACCTACAGATTNCGCCTATAGATTATAATGAGCCATGGAGTGTATATCTCTGGGGATATGTCTCCACCTACAGATTAGATTGTGTCAAGGACTGTACACCTCTGGGGATATGTCTCCACCTACAGATTAGATTGTGTCAAGGACTGTACATCTCTGGGGATATGTCTCCACCTACAGATTTTAATGAGTCATGGAGTGTACACCTCTGGGGATATGTCTCCGCCTATAGATTATAATGAGCCATGGAGTGTATATCTCTGGGGATATGTCTCCACCTACAGATTAGAATGTTTCAAGGACTGTACACCTCTGGGGATATGTCTCCACCTACAGATTAGATTGTGTCAATGCCTGTACACCTCTGGGGTTATGTCTCCGCCTACAGATTAGAATGTTTCAAGGACTGTACACCTCTGGGGATATGTCTCCACCTACAGATTAGATTGTGTCAATGACTGTACACCTCTGGGGTTATGTCTCCGCCTACAGATTACAATGTTTCAAGGACTGTACACCTCTGGGGATATGTCTCCACCTACAAATTAGATTGTGTCAATGACTGTACACCTCTGGAGTTATGTCTCCACCTGCAGATTAGAATGTGTCAAGGACTGTACATCTCTGGGGATATGTCTCCACCTACAGATTAGATTGTGTCAATGACTGTACACCTCTGGGGTTATGTCTCCACCTGCAGATTAGAATGTGTCAAGGACTGTACATCTCTGGGGATATGTCTCCACCTACAGATTAGATTGTGTCAAGGATTGTACACCACTGGAGGTATGTCTCCACCTACAGATTAGAATGTGTCAAAGACTGTACACCACTGGAGGTATGTCTCCACCTACAGATTACAATGTGTCAAAGATAATAGAACCATTAAAGACAATAGACAGTTTATTAGGAATTTATCTCCTATGATTAGAACAGGAACCTGAAATGTCTCTATGTTACAGAGGTACAGAAAGAATGCAATCTATGTAACAGTTTTAAGTAATAGTCAGCAAACTTACAGTGTTTATTTAAAAAATATTATTAAACCTATTAGGAAAGTCTTTTTAGGCGATCTTCTATGAGTGTTTGCCAAGAGCCATCTGTCCAGTTGTCCAGTCGCTGTTGTTTTACACGCTTCATATGTTTGTTATGACAGGCAGTCATCAGAATGTGTTCCCATGTCGGCTCCGTACAGGCACCTGTAACAAAACGTCAACAAATAATCCACTGTAACACTGATATATCGTACACCCGAACACCGATATATCATACACGCTAACACTGATATATCATACACCCTAACACTGATATATCGTACACCCTTACACTGATATATCATAAACCCTGACTCAAATATATCATACACTGTAACACTGATATATCATACACCCAAACACTGATAAATCATACATCTAACCCTGATATATCATACACACTTACACTGATAAATCATACACTGTAAACACCGTAACACTGATATATCGTACTCCCTAACACTGATAAATCATACAATCATACACCCAAACACTGATATATCATACACGCTAATACTGATATATCATACACCCACTGATATATCATACACCCAAACACTGATATATAATCCACCCTAACTGATATATCATACACCCTTACACTGATAAATCATACACCCTTTCACTAATCTATATTACACCCTAACACTGATATACCATACACCCTAACACTGATACATCGTACACCCTAACACTGAAAAATCATACACCTTAACACTGATAGATCATACACCCTAACACTGACATATCATACACCCTAACACCCTAACACTGATATACCATACACCCTAACACTGATGAATCATACACCCAAACACTGATAAATCATACACCAAATCATACACCCTAACACTGAGATATCACACACCCTAACACTGATATACCATACACCCTAACACTGATATATCATAAACCCTGACTCAAATATATCATACACTGTAACACTGATATATCGTCCTCCTTAACACTGATATATCATACATCCTTACACTGATAAATCATACACCCTAACACTGATAAATCATACACCCTAACACTAATATATATTACACCCTAACACTGATATATCATACACACTAACACTGATATATCATACACACTAACACTGATAAATCATACACCCAAACACTGATATATCATACACCCTAACACTGATATATCATACACCCAAACACTGATATATCATACACCCTAACACTGATATATCATAAACCCTGACTCAAATATATCATACACTGTAACACTGATATATCATACATCCTTACACTGATAAATCATACACCCTAACACTGATAAATCATACACCCTAACACTGATAAATCATACTCCCTAACAATGATTAATCATACACTGTAACACTGATATATCATACACCCAAACACTGATATATCATACACCCTAACACTGATAAATTATACACCCTAACACTGATAAATCATACACCCTAACAATGATTAATCATTCACCCTAACACTGATTAATCATACACCCTAACACTGATAAACTATACACCCTAACACTGATAAATTATACACACTAACACTGATAAATCATACACCCTAACAATGATTAATCATACACCCTAACACTGATTAATCATACACCCTAACACTGATAAACTATACACCCTAACACTGATAAATTATACACACTAACACTGATAAATCATACACCCTAACACTGATATATCATACACCCGTACAATGATCAATCATACACTTTAAACACTGATATATCATGCACACTAACACTGATATATCATACACACTAAAACTGATATATCATACATACTAACACTGATCAATCATACACACTAACACTAATGTATCATACACCCTAACACTGATATATCATACACCCTGACACTCATATATCATACACACTAACACTAATATATCATACACCCTAACACTGATATATCATACACCCAAACACTGATATATAATCCACCCTAACACTGATATATCATACACCCAAACACTGATATATAATCCACCCTAACACTGATATATCATACACCCAAACACTGATATATCATACACCCTAACACTGATATATCAAACAATGTAACACTGATATATCATACACCCTAACACTGATATATCATATACCCTAACACTGATAAATCATACACCCTAACACTGATAAATCATACGCCCTAACACTGATAAACTATACACCCTAACACTGATAAATTATACACACTAACACTGATAAATCATACACCCTAACACTGATATATGATACACCCTAACAATGATTAATCATACACTTTAAACACTGATATATCATGCACACTAACACTGATATATCATACACTCTAAAACTGATATATCATACATACTAACACTGATCAATCATACACACTAACACTAATATATCATACACCCTAACACTGATATATCATACACCCTGACACTAATATATCATACACCCTAACACTGATAAATCATACACCCTAACACTAATAAACTATACACACTAACACTGATAAATCATACACACTAACACTAATATATCATACACACTAACACTGATATATCATACACCCTAACACTGATATATCATACACCCTAACTCTGATCAATCATGCACCCTAACACTGATATATCATACACCCTAACACTGATATATCATACACCCTGACACTAATATATCATACACCCTAACACTAATAAATCATACACCCTAACACTGATATATCAAACAATGTAACACTGATAAACTATACACCCTAACACTGATAAACTATACACACTAACACTGATAAATCATACACACTAACACTAATATATCATACACCCTAACACTGATATATCATACACCCTAACTCTGATCAATCATGCACCCTTACACTGATATATCATACACCCTAACACTGATAAATCTTACACCCTAACACAGATATATCATACAATGTAACACTGATAAACTATACACCCTAACACTGATAAACTATACACCCTAACACTGATAAATCATACACTCTAATAATGATAAATCATACACCCTAACAATGATATATCATGCACCCTAACAATGATAAATCATACACCCTTAACAATGATCAATCATACACCCTAACACTGATATATCATACACTGTAAGACTGATATATCATACACACTAACACTGATATATCATACACCCTGACACTGATATATCATACACCCTAACACTGATAAATCATACACCCTAACACTGATATATCATACACTGTAAGACTGATATATCATACACACTAACACTGATATATCATACACCCTGACACTGATATATCATACACCCTAACACTGATAAATTATACACCCTAACACTGATATATCATACACCCTGACATTGATATATCATACACCCTAACACTGATAAATTATACACCCTAACACTGATATATCATACACACTAAAACTGATATATCATACACTGTAACACTGATATATCATACACCCTAACAAGAAGCCCAAGAGGGCCTGTATCGCTCACCTGAATATTTAAGCAGTCATAGCAAAATATTCTCATTAAATATTATATTGCACTAAAAATATTTCCCTCGGAAACTTTGTTGGCTCCATCTGTTGAAACTACCAGCAAAATATTATCATAAGATTCTATGCTTTTTGAATTTTCTTCAGAAGTTGCTTGACATATTTTTCCCTGTGAACTTGTAAGTAGGTCAATGTCATTTTCCTTCTCAAATTGGTTAGCTCTATTCCAAAAAGCTACCAGCCAAATCTTATGAATCAGTTCCTTTTAGTGCTCAAAAACAAATCCATTAAAATGTTGTTGACCTCTGTGACCTCTAAAGTAGGTTGAGGTACTTTTCATTTGCAAACTTTGGTGAGCTCTATCCCAGGAAGTCACCAGCCAAATATTATAATTTTATGCCTTTTAATTCTTCAAAAGAAGCTGTTTGAACTGTTTGACATATTTGAACGCTGTGACCTTGAAAGTAGGTCAAGGTCATTTTCATTTGAAATCTTTGTTTGGCTCTTTCCCAGGAAGCCACCTGCCAAATATTAAGATTTTATAACTACCAGTTCTTCAGAAGAAGTCGTTTAAAGTGTTTGACATATCTGCCTCATGAGACCTTAAAAGAAGGTCAAGGTCATTTTCATTCTCAAACTTTGTCGGGCTCTATCCAAGGAAGCCATCAATCAAAAATAAAGATTCTATATCTTTCAGTTCTTCAGAAGAAGTCGTTTAAGGTTTTTGATATATTTGACCCCTGTGACCTTAAAAGTAGGTCAACCTAATTTTCATTCTCAAACTTTGTTGGTCTCTATCCCAGGAAGCCCCCAGCCAAATATAAAGATTCTATACCTTTCAGTTCTTCAGAAGAAGTCGTTTGAAGTGTTTGACACATTTGACTCGTGACCTTGAAAGAAGGTCAAGGTCATTTTCATTCTCAAACTTTGTCGGGCTCTATCCAAGGAAGCCATCAATCAAAAATAAAGATTCTATATCTTTCAGTTCTTCAGAAGAAGTCGTTTGAGGTTTTTGATATATTTGACCCCTGTGACCTTAAAAGTAGGTCAACCTAATTTTCATTCTCAAACTTTGTTGGTCTCTATCCCAGGAAGCCCCCAGCCAAATATAAAGATTCTATCCCTTTCAGTTCTTCAGAAGAAGTCGTTTGAATGTTTGACACATTTGACCCCCGTGACCTTGAAAGTAGGTCAAGGTCATTTTTATTCTCAAACTTTGTTGGGATCTATCGCAGGAAGCCATCAGCCAAATATGAAGATTATATACCTTTTAGTTCTTCAGAAGAAGTCGTTTGAAGTTTTTGACATATTTGACCCCTGTGACCTTGAAAGCAGGTCAAGGTCATTTTCGTTCTCAAACTTTGTAGGGCTCCTACCAACGAAGCTTTCAGCCAAATATCAGGACTCTAGGCCTGTCCATTCTTCAGAAGAAGTTGTTTTAAGGAAAAGTTGACGGACAAGGATGGACGGACGGACGGACGACGGACGCCGCGCCACGGCATAAGCTCACTTGGCACTTCGTGCCAGGTGAGCTAACAATGATATATCTTACACCCTAATACTGATATATCATACACCCTTACACTGATAAATCATACACCCTAACACTGATAAATCATACATCCTAACACTGATAAATCATACACCCTTACACTGATAAATCATACACCCTAACACTGATAAATCATACACTGTAACACAAATATATCATACACCCTAACAATGATATATCAAACACCCTAACACTGATAACTCATACACCCTAACACTGATATATCATACACCCAAACACTGATATATCATGCACCCTAACACTGATAACTCATACACCCTGAAACTGATAACTCATACACCCTAACACTGATATATCATACACCCTTACACTGATATATCATAAACTTTAACACTAATATATCATAAACTTTGACAGTGACAAATCATACACCCTAACAATGATATATCATACACCCTAACACTGATCAATCATACACCCTAACACTGATATATCACACATACAATGAATTTCCTGTAGAGATCTCTGAGGGAACACAGACAGTTAATTTCCTGTAAGGATCTCTGAGGGAACACAACCAGTGAATTTCCTGTAAAGATCTCTGAGGGAACACAGACAGTGAATTTCCTGTAAGGATCTCTGAGGTAAGATAGCTAGTGGATTTCCGGTAGTTTTCTGAGGGAACACATTAAGTTTCCTACCTTTGATGTCCAGTCGGTCATCTATCAGCAAGTGTCCATTGATGATGGTCTTGTCCCGAGTCAGGATCACCTTGTCTATGAAGTTAGGTCCTAAGTGGTTTTCCACCCACTCAAACTGATAGAAACAAAATTAGATTTTTTGTTATTATCATTTAATTTTCATTTAAAAAAACCCACTAGCAACTTCCAGAAGCATCTCTATTACTGTTTTATAGCACGCACAAACATATAACCAATATTGAAATGGGCTCATTTTACAAAATGTTGCCAAATTAGCAGCTGCCCCTATTGACCAGCAGCCCCTTATGACCAGCAGCCCCTACTGATCACAAGCCCCTATTGATCACCAGCCCCTATTGATCAGCAATCCCTATTAATTAGCAGCCCTTATTGATCACCAGCCCCTATTGATCAGCAGCCCCTATTGATAACCAGCCCCTATTGATAACCAGCCCTTATTGATCAGCAGCCCCTATTGATCAGTGGCCCCTACTGACCAGCAGCCCCTATTGATCAGCAGCCCATAACAAACAGCAGCCCCTATTGATCAGCAGCCCCTACTGATAAGCAGCCCCTATTGATCAGCAGCCCCTACTGATCAGCAGCCCTTATTGATCACCAGTCCCTAATGACCAGCAGTCCCTTTTGATTACCAGCCCCTATTGATCACCAGCCGTTATTGATCAGCATTCCCTATTGATCAACAGCCCCTTCTGATCAGCAGCCCCTTTTGATCAACAGCCCCTAATGACCAGCAGTCCCTATTGATTACCAGCCCCTATTGATCACCAGCCTCTATTGATCAGCATTCCCTATTGATTACCAGCCCCTATTGATCAGCAGTCCCTACTGACCAGCAGCCCTTATTGATCACCAGCCCCTACTGATAAGCAGCCCCTATTGACCAGCAGCCCCTATTGACCAGCAGCCCCTTTTGATCACCAGCCCCTACTGATCAGCAGTCCCTATTGGTCAGCAGCTCTTATTGACTAGCAGCCCCCAACAACTGCAGCCACTATTTTTCTAAGTTGATGTCATAAACAAAATATACAGACACCAAATACCATTATCACACCTGTGAAATCAACATCAGTCAAGTCTAGCTCATCTGTTAAAATACAAGGGAAGGGATCATTTTCAGGAAAATACTAAATGCTACAGGAAAGAAATTAGATTTTTTTTAAATTATCCTCAAATCATTCCTGCAATATTAATACCAAAATAAGCAATGATATTTCTGTAAATACCTTTTCCTTGGCTGAATACTGGTACTGAAACAATGGACTGCTACACAGAAATACATCGACTCTACAAAACATAAATATGGAAGGTAAAACCATACACTACAGTAGTAA